ATGAAGAGGTTGGGGTATCGGATGATAGCTTAGAGCACACCCTACCAGCCCAAATAGAGTTTTTTGAGAAAAAGTCAAGTGGCGATGAACTGCTGCCTCGAACTATACCTCATTTTCCAGAAAAAAAATGCGGGAAAAATGACGGTGCCCCTGTTAGGGACCACTTTCGGGTAGTGGCAGATTACGCAGGTTCTAAAGCGTTTCAAGACCTAAAATTTGGCACACGAGCTGGTACAGTCGTCCCCGCTTTAAAGACACTCTTCTTAAGGAAACTCCCATGGTGCCCCGCAGATGTACAATAATATAGGGGGGTAGCGTTTCCACAATGTGCCCCCCCCCCCAAAATTTTGCTGGGGCAGCGAATCGTAAGGCATTGATTGTAACATCGACAGCAGTCTGCTGCAGCCCGCACTAATGCGTGTGGGTATGGAGAGATTCCTCCCATCTGCTGGCGGGTCGTCAGCTGCCGGCTTGAGGCCATGTGGCAAACCCACGTGCCAGCAAAAGTCTCAAATCGTGTCATTGTTTGGGATTTTTTTGCCTTTCTCGTGGAGTTAAATTTTGGCATTTTTGGTTTTTTTGTGTTTTTGCCTCGTGTTGACCTTTGGGGAAGAGCGGTGTTCTCTTTTCGGTGGGTTTGCTCGATTTTTTGTATGTTGTGGTCTGCGCTACCGACCGTTTCCTAGTGTCCCTCAGATCCCTCTAAGGGGTCGACTGGGTTTGTTTTGTCCCTATGTGGCAGGTAACTTGCTGCGTGTATCGTATCAGAGCTAGTTCCAACAAACTGATGTGTCTCACTCAGGTGTGTTCGCGATATCACGGGCATGATGTTCACCGTGAGGACAACGCCTTGACAATAAGAAAAGCCTACAACAACACCAGCGCACACTGCCGTACACATTACAATAGGTCGTGCTGTACTCCTTCCCGCGTTTCGGTGGTGGAGGGAAATTCAAAAATGTGTACAGTATTGGAGTACAGCAGCAGTAGTGTTGCGGCCTTCAATTGACGTGTTGTCGCAGTTTTTAAGCAGCACAATTTCGTGGTCGCATTCCTGCTTCAAATGCGCGTATTTTGACACATGTTACACCTCCATTGACCCCGGGGACGGTGAGTTAGTGGCCCCGGAATCCTAAAGACACTTCCCCGCGATAAAGACACTCCAAAAAAAAAAAACGCGGTGTGTGTGTCTTGAAAGCGGGGTCGACTGTAATATAATGTAGATTCCATTAAAACAAACAAAAAAATAATCGGTTCACATCGGGGACAAATGCCTGTATCCCCGTTTTTTCGGCTCCATTACCGGGGGCGGAAAATACCCCGTTGGGGGGATGACGCTCGTTATTTTGCCATGAAACGCTTCAACCGTCGTATTCTGATGCACGAACGACTCGTGCGCATCCTATTCGAAGTCACAAAAAAAAATTGCGACAGACGAGAGCCTACAGACGATGTTATGGCTGTGCAAACATGGGTACTTTTCCCCCTTTTTTGACTTGGACGGCAGCAAAATCCGCCTGAAATCTGCGAAGAGTTTAATTTAAGCAACCATTTTGCACCCATATGAACCCCCCACCACACGCCGTTTGACAAAAACGCGCTGAAGGGTGCACAAAACACGTTGGGAACGAAAAAAAGAACACGCCCAGCCCAGGGGACAAAAGTACAGCATTCCCGGGTTTCTCGACCAACTGTCCGCCCGTGAACTATATTTAACCCTCAACGGACGGAAATCGATTCCGCACACTCATTCCAAGCCATTTGTTGCAGACTTTACCCCGATACCGCGGTTGTGCACAGCTAACACCCCTCCAAAACACCTACACATCCACTACGGGTGTCGGCTTGTGGGCTCGTCCCGATCGAGATACGGAAGCCGCCGACTGCTGACCCCCGGTGATTCCTACCCCTCCCGCCCCTCCCTCCCCTCTCCCACCNGCCCTGAGCGCGCGGACGCCGCGGTCGCCGATCAACTCCTCCAGACGTTCGTTGGTCAAGGCGATGGGGACGTCCTCCAGGGGAGGGCGGTTGGTTTCCGTCACCTTCCTCTTCGGGCGCAGCAGCTGCCTGAGTGCCCACTCCCTGTCCACCGGCCACAGGCCCGCCCCGGCGAAGGAAGCTTGGTTGATTTCCGGCGTAAAGCGTGGGGCCCACGCTAGCCCGATCAAGCCGGCCATGTCCCGCTTCCGCGGTAGTGCCCGTCCGTTCCTCGCCGGGAAGGCCTGGATCACCTTCGCCAGCTCCTTCTTGAAGCACCCGAAGCCAGCGACGTCCAAGGGCTGGGTGATGTGGGACATGTGGGAGGGCAGCTGGACG